ATATTCCTCTTTATCTCTAGAGATGATTTTTGCCTTAAAATCTACTTTACCTGATATTACTATAGTTAACATACTGTTTTTTGGTTAGAGTTTGCATGATCTTAATCTTTTTTTTTTTTTTTTTTTTTTGAGACAGAGTTTCGCTGTTGTTACCCAGGCTGGAGTGCAATGGCACGATCTCGGCTCACTGAAACCTCCGCCTCCTGGGTTCAAGCAATTCTCCTGCCTCAGCCTCCTGAGTAGCTGGGATTACAGGCGCACACCACCATGCCCAGCTAATTTTTGTATTTTTAGTAGAGACGGGGTTTCACCTTATTGACCAGGATGGTCTTGATCTCTTGACCTTGTGATCCACCCGCCTTGGCCTCCCAAAGTGCTGGAATTATAGGCATGAGCCACCTCCGCCAACCCATCTTTTAACTTTCACCTCTCAAGTCCTTTATTTAAGCTGTCTCTTCGAAGCAGCCTATAGTGGGGGTTTAAAAAGTGAACGAACTCAATTAGAATTATGACATAATTTTGTCTTTAAGAAAAGTATTTCTTTTCTACTTGTCCCACCTGTTCTATATTTCTTCACCCTCTTTACTTACTTTAGAATGATCAAATATTTTTATTATTTGGCCTCTCCCCTCCCATTAGCTTGTTAGTTACACATTTTTAGTTATTTTTAGCAGTTACTTGTAGATTCCTATGCGCATCTTTGACATATTAGGGTCTAATTGAAGTGAGCACTTTACACCTCATAGTAAATGCAGAAAGGCAAGTGTTTCCGAACATTTTAACTTAGTTTTCCTCCTTACGATTTTCTTACTGTCCTGTTGTACCCACAGATTCATGTTTACCCTTTCTCTGGCTCTTCATACGGTAATCCCCATTCGGCTACACTTCTGGTCTGAAACAGGAAATTGATTCAGGCGGGAGGAACAATAGGTCATTAAGGCAGCCTGTGACATCTGGTTTGGATATTGCAGAAATGCCCTAAGTGCTTCCATACCCAATGGGGCCTGGGCTGCCAGGAGACAGGGTTGGTGGCCAGAAAGAGTCCCCAGCATCTAAGTCTGGGTCCTCAGACCTGGTGACATCACCCCACATAAAACCTTCAGGGGCCTCCTTTCCTTCAGGTAAAGATGGAACATCTCAGTGCAGCCCATGAGGTCCTGCAGGCTCCGACCTGGCCCCTGGCTGGCCAGCAGCTTTTCTGCTCTTGGCATGAGTCACCCTGAGCATCTGTCACTGCTTCAAATGCATCCTGCCTCGGGGCCTTTGCACAAACTCTCTCCAGCCTGAGAACCTTCCCCAACCCTCTCCTGGAAGCCAGCTGGGGATTCCTGCCCACTGTTGTTGTGTCCATTGCTGGGGCCAGGCCAGGTTCTCAATGGCACGTTACTGGTGATGACCTTGTTGTACCCCCCACCCGAGGGACGGCAGGCTCCACAGAGTGCTGCTCCATGCCATGTCCCCTGTGTGAGGGTCCCTGGTGCTGGCTGGCTTGGACCTGGGCTCTGCCTGACTCTGCGTCTCACTTTTTCTGTGACATCAGGCAAGTCTCCTTTTGTTGAGCCTCAGTTTCTCCTGCTGGCAAAATTGGGCATGAATCCTGGCCTGTCTGCCCCACCTGAAAAGATGGTGGTGAGGCTCCAGGTCATCTTCTTGTAAACTCAAGCATTTAGCCGATAACTGGGGCGCACAGTTATCCCCCATGAAGGGTTTGTCAGGGACACCCTTCCAGGCCATGGACAAAAGAGGCAAAAGTCTCTATCCTCGGGGTTAACGTGCTGGGGAGGGAAGGACGGGCAGGAAACAACCAACCGCATGAGGGGCCACGGCAAGTGCTGGGAGAAGTCATGGTAGTAGAGCAGGGGAGGGGGCAGGGCTCGGGGGTCTCCAGGGAAGGCGGTGCGGACCCTCCCTGCAGGAGGTGCTCTTGGCAGCCTGCCTGTGTAACTGCCTTTGGAAATAACACCAAAAAGCTGCAGGTGCGGCACTCCAGGCAGGGGACCCAGCAAGGGCAAAGGCCTGAAGGCAGGAAGGTGGAGGCCGGCAGAGCAGGCAGACCACTGTGGACACAGATGACAGGTGGGGGCTGGGGGTGAGGCCCCAATGCCCACTGCCCCTGCCAAATGTGGGCATTCCAATTTTGCCTGGGTGTCCCCTGCTGCCAGCTTTGTGCAGAACAGCCCTGAGGAAGACTGTCTTCTCTGCTGCTGGCCCCAAGCCCCTTCCTGGGGAGGAGGACAAATTCATCACCACCAGCATCCCCCTAGCTCAGCAGTCAGGTGCTCCTCCCAGACAAATGAAAGAGCCCTGGCTGCTGCCTCGCCTCCAGGCCCCTCCAGGGCAGGGAAGAACTAATCAGGTTGGAAGCTGCTACCAAATGTATCCACAGGCTGAAAAGACCATCGGCGGTACAGACAAACCCAATCCCCTGCTCTGGGCGAGCGCAACCTTGGAAATAAAGACACGCTTGAACCTCACCTCTCTGGAGAGAGCTCCCAGCTGACACCCAATATCTTCCTACCCTTACCCAAGGGACATTTTGAGGTCGGGTTCTTATTGACACCCATGGAAGCCAGGCTGAATGTGGATCCCACCCTGGAGGAGTTCTCTCCCCCACCATACCCTGCAGCTGACCGCTTGGTCAAGGCGCTCACTTCCAGGAAAGAGCTCCAGGGAAGACCCGAGTGTTGGCTGTGAGGCCAGCGTGCAAGGGTCTGTCCCTCCACCAGCAGGAAGGAGGGAGGTGGCATTGGTTCTGGTGCCTATGATGCTGGGAAAGGCCTGCTGGATGTGCAGTCAGAGGTGCTGGCGTGCTTGGACTCCCAGGCCTCCCATGTACCAGATGGAGACATTGAACAGCCTTGGTTTTCCCATCTGTAAAATGGGCTTCCACCTGCCTCACTGTATTGCCTGGGCAGTCAGATGAAACCTAGCAACCTCATCCAGGGAAGGGACTCCGCACCTTCAGGCCCACTCAGGAAGATGTAACTGGTCGCTGGAACAGGTGCCTGTCTGTCAGAGTGTCTGGGGACTATCAGAACTTTATGAAGAAAATTAAAAGTGTTTTGCAGCTGGGCACATGGCTTATACCTGTAATCCCAGCACTGTGGGAGGCCGAGGTGGGTGGATCACCTGAGGTCAGAAGTTCAAGGTCAGCCTGGCAAACATAGTGAAAGCCTGTCTCTATTAAAAATACAAAATTAGTCAGATGTGGTGGTGGGCACCTGGAATTACTCGGGAGGCTGAGGCAGAAGAATCACTGGGAGGCAGAGGTTGCAGTGAGCCAAGATTGTACCATTGCACTCCATCCTGGGCAACAAGAGTGAAACTCCACCTCAAAAAGAAAAGGAGGGGGCCAGGTGCGGTGGCTCATGCCTGTAATCCCAGCACTGTGGGAGGCCACGGCTGGCGGATCACCTGAGGTTAGGAGTTCGAGACCAGCCTGACCAACATGGAGAAATCCTGTCTCTACTAAAAACACAAAACTAGTCATGTGTGGTGGCGCATGCCTATAATCCCAGCTACTCAGGAGGCTGAGGCTGGAGAATCACTTAAACCCGGGAAGTGGAGGTTGTGGCGAGCAGAGATCACGCCATTGCACTCCAGCCTGGGTGATAAGAGCATAACTCTGTCTCAAAAAAAAAAGTGTTTTGCAGGTCCTTACTCTGGAATAATAATGTCTATGTTTTGTTTGGCCATTAACTAAAATATTTATATAAATATTCTATCATATGTGGTGCACAGATACATACAGTAAGATAGAAAAATAGTTTGTGGGGTTCTGGATCCCCTCTCCACTTAGGGACTGGGGAACTCCTTAGCTAAGCTAATTACCCCGGATCAAAATCGAGGCTGCATTGTTCTCTGTCCTGAGCAATTCCCTGCTGGAATCGCTGCTTCCTCTGCCAGGATCGTGGTTTTTCCTTCCAGGCAGTGTTCAGGTTCTCTGTCGGTTTCACTGTGAATGTGTCTTCACCAACCCCATTTCCGGAAGACTTGCCACCCCCAGAGGACTCAGTAAAACACCTGCCTCCAGACCTAAGTCCTTGGGAATGTGACCCTGTGTCTCTGCATCTGGTCACCTTTGCTGCCCCATTGGCCACCCTTTGAGGTCCATGCTAGAGCTCTGAGCAGGTTTTAGAAACTTAAGCTTTTGGTGTAGAGAATGATTTCCAGGCCAGTCTGCAGTGAAAGCAATTCTTTCAATACACAGAAGTCTTGAACACTCATACCCAGCGCCCAATCCTCACATCGAATGTTAGTGACTGTATCAGTTAGTGTTTGCTGTGTAAGAAACCAGCCCAAATTTCTGTGGCTTAGTGATTTCTTGAGCTCATGACTCTGGGCTGCCTGAGCCATTTTGTGGGCTGGCTGGGCTGGACTCTTACCTGCAGGGTAATGCCATGCTCTGTGGTCTGCCGGAAGGTTGGTTGGTGATGACATGGTCTCGGATGGGGTCACTTGTATGTCTGGTGCCTGGCAGATGGTAGCCTGGGGCCCCTCAGTTTCCCCTATCCGTCTGTGCAGCAGACTGCCTTGGGCTCACTGACTTGGTGGCCTCAATGTTCCCAGTGTACTGAGTGGACAAATCCTAACACACCAGGGCTTTCCAAGCCTCTGTCTCCATCACACCAAAGCCAGTCACATGGGCAGGACCAGGGTAAGTGTGGGAGGGGACAGCACAGGCCCAGGAGAGAAGAAGGGAGGGCTGTGGCCTTTTTCAGTTTATGGAAATTATTAGTTCTCTAATGAAGATATGACTGGGGGTGGTAGGGGAAGCTGGAGGGGAATGGTTGTCACAGGTGGCCGTGGGCTCACTATCTCTGCTGCTTGCTGGTGTTAGGGGGGCAGCAGCCAACGTGCCATGATGTAGGAAATAGATTCTCAGTGCCACAAAGAAAAGTCAGCACGGAGACAAAGGATGTTTCAGCAACACAGTTCTTACTTCCTGGACTGCAGGAAGGGTTTCCTCGCTAGCCATGGTACCATGAGAGTACAACAAACAAAGGAAAACACACAAATTTATTCCTTACGCATTTGAGTCGTCTTTACTGCTGTGTCTGATTTCCATTGGCTGGAGCCAGACCTCACAATCTAAACTAAAACCCGATTGGCTGATAACTTACAACTTTTCTAAACAGGTAACAGCAGTGGAGAGCTGGGACATGCCTGTGAGCACATCCAACACAGATATCTTGGTTAAAGTACAAGGACACAGAATGTACTACGTGCCTGTAAGCATGGCATGTCTAACAGCTACGTAGGACTTAACAAGGTTATTAGCACACTTTAATAAGAAAGAAACCTTTAAAAAGGAACTTTTCTACTTTCCCACACATGAAAATCTGCCAATTCTGCCCCAAGAGGATGTCCAGCACTTGGTGACAAGCTGCACTGCACAGTGGGGGGCGATGAAGGTGAGCAGAAGGTGAGGGAGAAAATAAGAAGCTGGAGGGCAGGGTCCCAGAATGCCAGAGACCAGAGAGACCTTGAAACCCACGATGCAGCCCACAGGCTCTTCACAATGGGAAACTGAGTCACGGATACCTTCAGGGGAAGCATCTGTGGCCCCACCAGGGCAGCCAAGGGCAAGTGGGAGGGTGGGCTCTGCCTTCTGGCTAGCTGGCTGTCACTTTCTGCAACCTCAGGTGGGACCCTTGACCCCTTAGGGCTTGGTGGTCTTTCCATTCTGGAATTGTGGGAAGATTCAATGAGATAATGTGCATAACATACTCAAAACCATGAGTGGCTCACTGGCACACAGCAGCTGTCGCTGTCATAACCTAAACGCAGGTTCAGTTACTTGCCACTTGCAGAGTTCAATTAGCAAGTCAGGCCTGACATAAAGAAAGTGACGTTTTATTCCCACGCCTGCTTAGGGGAAGAAGTATAGGCTTCCTGCCTTAAGGGCATTGCTTTAATTTTGGAGCAGAAAGTAAGTGCTTTTTAAAGGGGGCCTAACATGAGTGGTACACAGGGGAGGAAGCGAGCAGGTGGGGGCCTCTGTGTCAGCTTGATACTTGATCTGCCAGGCAGTGGTCAAGCTGGTGACTGCTGGCACCTCCATGGGCAGGACTAGGTTGTAAAAGCAGCTGAAACCTCTCCAGGTGGGAGGAATTTCAGAGCAGACATCCTTTGGGTTGTAGATGGATTGTTATCTCTTGAGGCAGCCTCCTGGTGGGTGGGAGTTTCACTCTGGAGCATCTAAGCACGTGGCTAGATGGACTTGACCTATAGCAAGCTTCAGGTGAAGGGGAGGCAAAAGGTTACAATTGTATTCCTCCCTCCCTTCCTTTTTTCCTTCCTTCCTTCTCTCTCTCTCTCTCTCTCTTTCTGTCCTTCTTTCAACCGAGTTTCACTCTTGTTGTCCAGGCTGGAGTGCAATGGTGGGATCTCAGCTCACCACAACCTCCGCCTCCCGGGTTCAACCAATTCTCCTGCCTCAGCCTCCCGAGTAGCTGGAATTACAGGCATGCAGCACCATGCCCAGCTAATTTTGTATCTTTAGTACAGATGGGGTTTCTCCATGTTGGTCAGGCTAGTCTTGAAATCCTGATCTCAGGTGATCCGCCAACCTCGGCCTCCCAAAGTGCTGGGATTACAGGGCATGAGCCACCACACCTGGCTATAATTGTAGTTCTAAAGGGATAAGTAGGAGGTCGGGAATAGGGAGAATCAGAAAAAAGAGAAAGATAATAACTCATCATATTTTTCTTAGAAAAATTGGGGATACTTGGTTACACTGTTATTACTCGAACCCAGGCCCCCCCAGCTCTGTGATTTTTCCTTGGCCCTGTGCGGCAGGTGTCTGTCCTCAGGGATGTAGGGAGGTTTTTTCAGATAATCCCTCCCACATCCTTCTTGGACTCTGAAGCTTCACTGTTAGAGATGAATTCCTTTGAGATTAATGTTGTCTCCATCTGTAAATGGGGATTCCACCAGATGACATGTGATGCTCTCACAGTGCTGCCGGGTTCCCAGCAAGTGCCCCATCCACGACACTGGCATTGGCTTCACGGAGACGGAGGGGGATGAATTAACAGGCATGCAAGTGTGTCTGCCGGGAAGCAGTCCCACAGGCCAGGAAGGGGCCAGCCTGCTCCATCTGCTTCCGGCTCTGCTGTGTGCTGGCTGTGTGACCTTGGGGCCTCCTTTAGCTTCGCTGTGCCTCAGTGGCTCCCTCTGGAAAGCGAGCAGATAACAGGCTCCACTCAAAGGTCTTCTGTGAAGATTAAACAGTTTTAACATCCTGCCAGCACTTTGCACTTAATTCCTTTATTCATTCCCTTTCTTGGGGGGTGGGGGGAGATGGAGTCTTGCTCTGATACCCAGGCTGGAGTGCAGTGGCTCACTGCAACCTCCACCTCCCAGGTTCAAGTGACTCTCCTGCCTCAGCCTGCTGAGTAGCTGGGATCATAGACCCACATCACCGCACCCAGCTACCTTTTTATATTTTTAGTAGAGACAGGGCTTCACCATGTTAGCCAGGATGGTCTCGACCTCCTGACCTCGTGATCCACCCGCCTCAGCCTCCTGAAGTGCTGGGATTACAGGGGTGAGCCACTGTGTCCATTCCTGTTCATTCTTTCTCAATTCACCCCTTCACTCCTGCCTGGCAAACTCTCTCTCTCCCCTTGCAAGGAACTGCAGTGATTTCTTGTCATTTTTCCAGGCACTTTGGATAATTCAAAGTCCAGGCAAGTCTTGTATTACCTTTGAGACTCATAGATTTTGAAGCTCCCTCCTCCGCCAGCTCAGCTCCGCTCCGCTCCGCTCCGCTCCGCGTAGTCCAGGGGTCAGGGGTGCAGTCAGTTTCTCCTCTGTCCGCTCCCTCTAGCTGGGTGTTGCTCTCGCCCCTCTAGGGCTGAATCTGTCCACGGAGGCAAGGAAGGTTTTTTGGCGGGGTGGTAGGGGAGGTAGGGACAGGTCACCCTGGACAGACACAGCTATGAGCTGAGGTTGGGCCTCCTGGGTGGCTGGAGCAATGTCACCCTTTGCTCCAGCTTCTGGGATCCATGCTTTCTTCTGGGTCCAGTTTGGCTGAAAGAGCAAGTCCTTTTGTCCCACAGCTCCTAGCATGACCCAGAGCTCGTTCCCAGACCTTAGCATGAACCCCAGATGTCCCCAGGGACACTCGTCAAGCTCTTGGTTGGCTTGCTGGCACTACTCATCCTTCTCCTCAAGCAGCTACCAGCTCAGGTTGCACCCTTGTACCAATTACAGTCAGGCCCCTTCCTCCAGGCTGACCTCCTGGCTTGGCTTGGAGGGGATGGCTGAGTCCTACCCTCATTCACACCTCTGCCAAGGCCCCAATGACAACCACAGGGGCCGCTTTCTTGTGTGTGTGGGGGGGGGGCTTCTGCCTGAAGCCCAGCAGCCATGGGCCCTGGGCTGGCTTTTCTGGCGGACTCAGGACCCTTCTCCCCAGTGCCTCCATCCCTGTGCTCCGTCCTCCCACTGTGCTCCCTTCTTTTTGGCATTTACAGCTCGGGCCTGGAGGCCACTGCTCCTATGTGTGTCCTCAAAGGCGGAAACCGTGTCCTGGGCAGGCTGTGGCAGGGAGTGACGGTTCCATAAATAACCAGATGAAGCCTCTGTGTCCTGGGGATGGGGGTGTGTGATGGGACGTGGCAGTCCCAGGGCCTCTCCCTGGTGCCGAAGGCCCAGCCCCTCCTTTCTCAGCCAGGGTGAGGCAGGGTCTGGGTGGTCCCACTGCTGCAGTCGAAAACACGGCAGGATGGGGTGAGCGGGATCTGAGGGGAGCCGCTCTGATGATTGACAGGGCATCCAGGGTGGGTGGGTTGCCCTGCCTCTGGGCCTCTGTGTCCTCATCTGTGAAACGGGGGTGGTGAGCCGGGCCCACTTAAGTCCGGGTACTCCAGGCTTCCTCGCACATCCGGCACTCCTGGGATGCAGGCGGCCTGTTTCTCGGCCAGCCCAGAGCGGGCGGCTGGCTTGAGCACTGACTCCAAGTGCGTCAGACAGGGAGCCAGAGCGGGATTCCCGGAATGCCCTGGAAAAATGCTGGGTGCCATCCAGGCGCCACCGCCAACCATGTGGTCTCTCTCATTCCACAGGGAACCCTCATTACCGTCTGGGCTGGCGTCCCTCATCCAGCCGGGCTGGCCCTTTCCAGAGGGCTGGGAGCCATCAGGGCTGGGGCCGTGCTGGGCAGAGGGACATGCCAGGTGGTCATCGTGGCCTCAAGTCCTGGGTGTGAGCCTGGGCTGCTCCAAGAGCACTTGAAGCTCATGCAGGCTGCTGAGCTAGGGGTTCCTAAGCCAGTGACTCAGGGCCACAGAGGAAGGAAGGAGCCAGGGTGAGTCTCCATGCCCCGAGGACCCCAGGTCCTAGATTCAGGTGCTTCATCAGACACTTGGAGACAGGCACCAGGGGCTGCAGATGGCCCCACAGGCCCCGCCCTCCCTGCCGCCACAAAGCTGGCAGTCCACACAACTGGAGCCGAGTCTCTGGAATCAGGTCACATCTCTCTCACAGCAGCACAAGGCAGCTCCTGGTGGGGAGCGGGAAAGCCCATTTTACAGATGAGGACACTGAGGCTTAATAGGTCTAGGGGATTTACCAGCAGCCAGGAGGCAGCAGGGGCACTCACTCATTCAGTCCTTCAACTGCTGTGGGCTGAGAAGCAGGAGAGCCAGAGGCTACATACTTCAGCCAGGAGCCCAGGAGTGCCAGGGGTGACTCCTGACACCCTCAATGTTCTCAGCATTTAGCTTGGATAAGTCACAGCCCCTCTGGGCTTCAGACTCTGTGAAATGTGTCTGACACAGTATTTGCCGTGGGCATTGAGAACGGGATAAATTAGCACACGTCTCGGACTCAGGGTGTGGCCGGCACATGGCCAGCAGGCATCCATGTTTTCTGCTGCAGTCAACTGGATGGAGGCTTGTGCTGGGTGCTGGGTGCTGGGAAGGAAAGGGAGGGAGACACAAGTCCCTGCCTTTGAGATGTTCTTTAGGATTGAGTGTAAAACAGGGATAAAAGTATCTAGTTTCTTTATGAAGAAAAATAAACAAAGCCAGTTGCCGTGGCTCACACCTGTAATCCCAGCACTTTGGGAGGCTGAGACAGGTGGATCACGAGATCAGGAGTTCGAGACCAGCCTGGTCAACACGGTGAAACCCCATCACTACTAAAAATACAAAAATTATCAGGGGCACAGTGGTGGGCGCCTATAATCCTAGCTACTTGGGAGGCTAAGGCAGGAGATTCTCTTGAACCTCGGGGGTGGAGGTTGCAGTGAGCTGAGATCATGCCACTGCACTTCAGCCTGGGTGACAGAGCAAGACTGCAACTCAAAAAAAAGAAAAAGAAAAAAGAAAAATAAGCAAGATAACTTACAGAGAGCATTTCTTGGAGCCAGGAACTGCTTGGAGGGCCGTTCAATAGGCATCAGTCTCCTTCTGCCTTTCCCTGGGTGCAACTTTCAGACCAACTGGGTGTAAGCTACTTTGGACTCCATTGAATGGACCCACCAGGGCTCACTCAACTGCTTGTTCCTCTAAATTGTTTTTCAACCAGGATGCCATGGCCAAAAGCACCTTCAGAACTAGAGCGTCCCTAAGAACGGTCCCTGGAGGCAGGTGCCGGGACTTGGCTGTAATTAACTGTATGCTCCATCAGAGGTGCTGGAAGGCATGTCCTTTGAGAGAAACGCTTGGGATCCTCTGGGTGGAGAATCATCTTTGATCTGCCTCATCTAGAACTGAACCCCAGCAAGAGTGCCAGCCGGGTTCCACAGGGGGCACAGTGCAGGGGGGCTCCGGCCGAATGCCAGCCGGGTTCCACAGGGGGCACAGTGCAGGGGGGCTCCGGCCGAGTGCCAGCCGGGTTCCACAGCGGGCACAGTGTAGGGGGACTCTGGCTGGCAAGGGTCTGTACTGTGGCTTGTGGTTTGCTCGAGTTGACATAATACCCAGGCAGCACCGAGGGGCAGCTTCAGCAACAGAGATCCGCCTTTTCACCACTCAGGAGGCCAAAGCCGAGGCCGAGGTCCCGGCCGGGTGGTTCCTCCCGAGGCCCCTCTCCTCTTGGTGCGTAGATGCCACCTTCTCCCAGTGTCTTTGGTCACTTGATTGTCCCTCTGTGGGTGTCTGTGTCCTAATTTCCTCTTTTGTTTTTTCGAGATGGAATCTCACTCTGTCCCCAGGCTGGAGTGCAGTGTCGCAATCTCGGTTCACTGCAACCTCTGGCTCCCAGGTTCAAGTGATTTTCCTGCCTCAGCCTCCCAAGTAGCTGGGAGGACAGGCGGGTGTCACCATGCCCGGCTAATTTTTGTATTTTTAGAGAGACAGGGTTTCAGCATGTTGGCCAGGATGGTCTTGATCTCCTGACCTTGTGATCCGCCCACCTCGGCTGGATCCCACCACAAAGTGCTGGGATTACAGGTGTGAGCCACCACACCCGGCCATCCTCTTCTTCTAAAAACACCAGTCCTACTGGATCAGGGCCCACCCCAATGGCCAGATTCTAACTTAATCACCTCTTTAGAGGCTCTGTCTCCAGGTACAGACAGCCACATGTGGAGGGATGGGAGTTAGGATCTCAACAGATGAATTTTGGGGATCACAACGAAGCCCATAGCAGGGGTGATTCATCAGAGTCCTGGGATTTAAAGAGCCCCAGTTGTGCGAGGCTCAGGACCACTGCCCCAGTAACCCCTGTGACACCACCCTTAGCCCTGCCCTCCTCAGGGGGGAAGCCGGGTCTGGAGGAGACGGTGACTCACAGTCAGGGCAGAGGCTGGATCAGACCCAGACCCAGCTCATTCCAGAGCCTGCCGGTGCCAGCTGGGAGGAGATGGAACTTGAGACCTATTTACCTTGGCACCCTCAGTGCCCACTCGGGCTTGGCACACAGCTGCTGTTCGGAAGTAGTTGGATGAATTTGCCAATGACACATTTTGTCACGGTCCTTGCCCTGGGGTTATGTACACTCCTGCCCCCTGAAAAGGCAGACTCACCGGCACACATCCAAACACCATGGTCACTGAGGCCAAAGCCAGGCCACTTCTCCTTTCTGGTTTGGGTCCTGCCAGCCTCCACACTCGGCCAGTATAGAGCTGACCTTTCCACGCCTTCTGGAAAAGCCAAAGCCAATTCCTAAGCTCTCGGCTGTCCCAGAACTGAGTTACGGTGGGGGCTGGTGGGATTCCTCAGGGAACAAATCTGGCCCCCACACGTCCTTGTGTGCCTCCATCCATGCCAGCCGGCTCCGGCCCATACGGTGCCACCCAGAAATCTGCAGCCAGCACACGTTTCACTGGAATGAAGCACTGTCCTGGCCCCGGCTCCAAATTCCTCTCTGCTCGTGGTCTCTAGCCGGCCGCCAACTGTAACAGCGTGAGAGGGCCCCGCGGGCCAGGGAGCTGTAGTAGCAAAGAACGTTTGTCTTCATCCAGTTGGAATTTTTTCTCCAAATTACACTGGCTGTGCTGGGCCTACTGTGGGAAGCTCTATTTACAGAAACCCTGGGCCATAGTCTGAGCGTGACCTGCTCTTTCTGGGGAGACGCCTTTCCCAGCTCGGCACTGTGCTCCCCAACACTCATGAGTCCCAGGGTTTCCGGGCCCCTTCCTGCCTCTGAACCTTTGCCTGGGCTGTCCTCAGTCTCGGAAATCCCTTGCAGGCCCCCCCTGCTGCAGCCCCGTGTGGGGCAGGGCAAGCCCCACACTTGTGTCTTCATTGTACTTCGTGCTGGTTGCAAGACTTAGGCGGGCTGCTTTGCCTCTCTGAGCCTCACTTTCTCAGTTTCTTCATCTGTAGAATGTGAATAGGCTTGGGGGAAACCTGTGTCCTTCAGGCAGTGAGGGGATGGATAGGAGCCAAGGTAGGAGAGCTTTAGGAAAGGTTGCCTCAGCCAGCCTGCCCCAGGCCCTTTGCACACACTCCCATGCAACTCCACAGGGAGGATGGCTCCTCGTCAGCCAGCCCTGCAGCATGCCATGGCCAGCCCCATGGGATGGAGATGGGGGTCCTAACTCCTCACTATCATTATGATCTTCGCTAACTCACCAGACCGGGCTTGGGCCCATGAAACCCTCATGACTCTCCCCAGGGAGTAAGTGTCCTCATTACCTGTTTTCAGGATTAGGAAGCTGAATTGGGCGAGGGCTGAGTTCACCCTGCCAAGAAGCAGCTGAACTGGGACTCAGCTCTGCAGCTGGGGAGTCCCAAGCACCAAGGTCCATGGGACTGCAGGTCGGGGCCCAGGTAGTGCACACGTCCCCACACGTGTCCTACCCCTCATCCAGGGTGCTTATCCTGGGGTCCCTCTGGGCCCAGGCACATTGCCACCTGACCAGATCTGTGTTCTGTTAGCAAGAAATTGGGGAGACAGCTCCCATTAAGGTACACAGTGACAGCAGAGGGCTGGTACTGTCCCTGATGGATGCCCAGAAAATGTCCTCTGGACACCAAGGGGGCCTGAGCCACCCACCCATCAACACCTTGCCCTGAGCCCTTTGCTGCCCTCACTCTGCCAACCGGATTCAGCATCTCTTTCCTCCCCTGTTGACCCTGAACTTAGGCTGAGAACCCCAGGTCTGTCACACACACTGGGGTCCCCAGACCTCTGAAACCAGCACCTGCTGGTCACCTCCTCCTGGCTCTGGGCATTTGTCCCCACCCCTCAGCACCTCCTGGGATACCTCAAATCCTGCCGCGTCTCTGGCGGGACTTGGACATTCACACCGTGACCTGCAACCTCCTGCTCCTAAGTGTCTCCTCCACGTGACAGAGCTTCCTCCTTGACCAAACTTTAGCCAGGTGCCTCTGAGCCCTCTTCTCATACAAGCCTTGACCTTGGCCAGCAAAGAATCCCATAAAGCCCATTCAGGGAGAGAGTCCCCTACCCTTGATCTCAGATCAAGTTTCTCTCTTCCACTCTAGGTAGTTAAATCCTTGTCCCTTTAGCAAGAATCCCGTTGGGCCCACATAGCACAAAGTCCTCTACCCTTGATATCTAATCTAGTTCTTCAGAGTAATTTTCCATCCACTGACCCCCTCACTCTGCTCCTTCAACATAAGGAACAAATGGCGAATCTCCAGCTGTCCTTCCTGTCTTCAAGGTTGAGTTCAAACCCTGTCCCCTGTTACAATCGTCTTCAGTAAAGTCTTCTTGGCCATTTTTAAACACAGGTCGGGTGAAATTGTTTTCTTTAACATACACCCTCCTTACCCCTCCCCCAACTTAGCCATCCCCCCGAAACCGCTCAGCCCTGAAGTCTCAGTCCACGTCCTGGTTTAGAGCAAGCTTGACATTCAGAGTGATAATTTCACCTCCCGGAGGGGGCTCTCTCAGCTCCCTGCCTCTTAGCTTCTTATCCGTAAAACACGTACAGAGGAGTGAAAGGACATCAGGCGCCGTGCAGAGCCTGGCTCAGAACAGGCAAGCAGCAAAAGTGTGTTTCTCTCTCCTTCTTTGGCTCTTCTTTACAAGAGGCCTCAAACCTGTCAGCAAAGAAAGATTGCACGTTGCTGGGATATTCTGTCTTTCAACGGGGAAAACAGAATCCCAGGTGGTAAGGCAGCAGCCACTCTCAGAAACGGTGACATCTGCCCAGCTCCGGCTTCCCCATTTATCCCTGTGGTTCAGTGCTCAAAAGGACAGGCAGGTGGCCAGGCGCGGCGACCCAATTGAATGAAAAGAACCAGGAAGCCATTGGATGGTCCAGGCTCGGCTGCGGCAGGGTGTGGGTCGTCAGCGAGATTGGCTCAGGGTTTTGTTTTCTCTCCAACTGGAACAGCGGGGCAGGGAGCTGTGAAACGTGTCAGTTTGTTGGAGTTCCTTTTCTTATTCTCAAGCATGTAGCTTTGGGAGCTGGCTGGAATGGAAGCACGACCTGCCTGACTCTCTTGCAGGGGATCCAGTGTCCTTGCTTCAGCTGGCTTTGACAGCACAGTCTGGAGACCCTGAGGCTCAACTGATGCGGCAACTCTGAGGCCCTCCTAGAGGCAGCCCTCGGTGGCCTGTGAACTCTCACTCCTCGTTTTTCATGCAAGAAGGCTCAGTGAAGGCAAGGGGCTGGCTTGAGGTCACATAGCAAATAAGCTGGGAGCCTAGAAGCTTGGATTCTCTTCCTTTTATGCTTATTTCAAAAGCCACCTGCCCCAGGAAGCGTTCCTGCAGCTGTCACCTTATCTCAGGCTGGACCAGGTGCACTCTGGACCCCTGACGTCCCGAGTTCAGAGCGCTGATCATGCAGCATTGCAACTGCATCCTTGGGGCAGACATAGCATTGCCTGGGCACAGAGGCAGGAACAAATGGCGAATGAATGGACGTCTGCACGACGCTTGCAAATCTTTCCCTTATCCCCGAGGTGGCCTCCTCCCCTGCACTTGGTGGTGAGCAGAGCCCCTGTCCACGCAGCTCTGTTATCTCTAGGATAGCCAGCTCAGACCTGGCAACTGACAGCTAATTAAAACAACACGATTCGTAATAACAACAATAAAAATAACTATCACATTACTGCCACCACCAATTACTGAGCATCGCTACAAACCAGGTGCATTTTCCATCAGGTCTTCTTGAAGGAGCGTGACAGCCGTGGGAGGTGGGTATTATTATCCTAATTTTTCAAGTGATCAACTAGAGACTCAGAGAAGTGACTCTGAGGAGTGAAGCTTCCACTGATAAATGAGACAGGTCAGGACAGGGGAGGGCACGGCACAGGGTGAGGGCTGGGGACTGGCCAGTTTGAGCTCAGCAATGACTGAGCTGTTAGGGTAATTCTAACAAAGTATCGTAGACTGGGTGGCTTAAGCGATGGAAATGGGCTGGGCGTGGTGGCTCACACCTGTAATCCCAGCACTTTGGGAGGCTGAGGCAGGTGGATCACCTGAGGTCAGGAGTTCAATACCAGCCTGGCCAACATGGTGAAGCCCTGTCTCTACTAAAAATACAAAAGAGTAGCCGGGCATGGTGGCACGTGCCTTCAGTCCCAGCTACTCGGGAGGCTAAGGCAGGAGAATTGCTTGAACCCGGGAGGTGGAGGTTGCAGTGAGCTGAGATAGCACCACTGCACTCCAGCCTGGGCGATGGAGTGAGAATCTGTCTCAAAAACAACAGCAGCAGCAATGGAGATGTATTCCTTCACAGTTCGGGAGGCTGGAAGTCCAAGAACAAGATGTCAGCAGGTTAGATTTTCTGTGGACTCCAAGGGAAAGGTCTGTTCCAGGCCTGTCTCCTGGTTCCTGGGGTTTGGCTGGCAATCTTCGGCATTCTGTGGTTTGTAGACACATCGCCCCAATCTCTGCCTCCTCTTTTTCACATGGTGTTTTCCTTTTTCCCTGTCTTCAAATTCTGTCCCACGTCCTTTTCTTTTTTTTTTTTTTTTGAGACAAGGCCTTGCTCTGCCGTCCAGGCTGGAGTGGAATGCAGTGGCTGGATCACTGCTTACTGCAGCCTCAACCTCCTGGGCTCAGATGACCCTCCCGTCTCCGCCTCCCCAGTAGCCGTAAGACAAGCACGCACCCCCGTGCCTGGCTGATAATTTTACTTTTGTAGAGGTAGGGTCTCACTTTGTTACCTAGGCTGGTCTCAAATTCCTGGACTCCAGTTATCCTCCTGCCTTGGCCTTCCAAAATGCTGAAATTGCAGACATGATTTACTGTGCCTGAACTCAAATTTCCCCTTTTTATAAGGACATAGTCATGCTGAATTAGGCCACACTCCAGTATGACCTCATCTTAACTAATTATTACTGCAACAATCCTATTTCCAAATAAAGTCACATTCTGAGGGACAGGGTTTAGGACATCAGCATATGAAGTGTGGGGGCACAATTCAGCCCCTAATACTAAGTCCAGGGCAGTACCCAGGGGCTTGCAAGTGAGCTGGGCCAACCACAGAATCAGTGGGGCCAGTCAAGCCCTGCTGGGTGCTGGTGATGGGGCCACCGTGGGCAGCAATGCAAGCGGGGAGACCAGAAGCTTCTCAGGGAAGCGTAACCTCAGCCCCACATTGGATCAGATGGCTCCACCTCCAGCTATCCTCAAATCAGAAACCTAGGATGTCCTTGTCCCTCTGCCTCCCATGGCCCCCAGATTCGAGGCCTCTTCCCTATCTTGTAAAGAACAGAATCCTTTCACTCCATGCACACAAGCAAGCGCATGTGTAATCTAGCAGATGGCAATGAATGCCTCAGGGAAGGAGCTGAGAAGGGGCTTGGGAAGCATTGGAAGGTGAGGGGCGCCTGGAGAGTGACCCGTCCGCAGAGGCATGGAGGAAGGCAAGGAAGCCACGGGCATCTTGGGGACAGTACAATTTTCTGGGAGTGAGAGCAGCCAGTGCAAAGGCCCCGAGGTGGGTGTGTGTTTGACATGGGCCCAGAGCAGCAAGGAGGCCAGCATCCCTCGAGGGAGGAAGAGGCGGGTGGGGAACTCAGGAAAGGAGTTCAGAAGCAGGTGGGCCATCCCATGCACCCCCTGACCCAGAACTTGGTCTCAGGCCCAGCTTGTTCCCCTTCACTTCCACATCTGGTGCCAGCAGAAGCCTCCATGTCCAATCCCAGATCACACCCAGGCCCCCAGGCTGGTCCTCCCTGTGTAACGAGCCTGGATTCCAGGCCAGCAAGAACACACAGGCATGATCTGCATTATTGAAATCAGCCTGTGGCATGCTGTCCTAAAACCCACAGGGACAGGCCAAGCGCAGTGCCTCACGCCTGTAATCCCAGCACTTTGGGAGGCCCAAGCAGGTGGATCCTAGTTCAGTAGTCCAAGACTAGCCTGGCCAACATAGTGAAACCCTGTCTCTACTAAAAATACAAAAAAATTAGCCAGGTGTCATGGCAGGCGCCTGTAATCCCAGCTACTTGGGAGGCTGAGGCAGGAGAATCGCTTGAACTCGGGAGGTGGAGACTGCAGTGAGCCAAGTTTGCACCATTGCACTCCAGCCTCGGCCGCAGTGAGAGACTCCATCACAAAAACACAGAACAAAACACAAAACCACAACAGGGATAGCCGTGAAGAAAATCCCAGGAATAATGAAATAAAGACCATAGACCAATTCGTAAACACTGCAAAGGGGAATCAATATTTCTAAATGTTCGCCTGGCTTCAGCTGAATTGTCACAAAGCACTTCTTTCTTCCTTAGGCTGTAATGGGCCCGTGTAGACTTGTCACCGTGCTTGGCACAGGCTTGGTTTCTGTTGGATGAAACAAACATAGAGGCCACTTGCTTACTGGGGACAGAAGCTGGCTCCCCCAATTAGGGTCTGCCCAATGTTCCCACAGTATCCTGGGCAGCTGCTGCTCCCAAGGTGCTGTCCCAAGAGCCCATTCATTCATTCATTCATTCAGCAGATTCCTGCTGAGGTTCTAGAGGTGCCAGGCCCCGGCACGTAGCAGAGGGTAAGGAGATGCAGACCCAGCCCTCGTGTTGCTGAAACTACAGATCAAAGGGGCATCGGTGACAATGTGGTGGATAGTTAACTGCACAGATGTTTGGGAGGTAAGGAGCCGTGGTGGGAAGCATAACCCCAAAGACTAGGGAAGGGAGAATTGGGACAGGGAGAAAGTGGGGAGGGCGGGCAGAGATCTGGAACAGTGAGATGCCCAAGGCCGTACAGAAAAGTCGGCGCTTTAAGAAAGATATGACATGGCCAGGCACGGTGGCTGACACCTATAATCCCAGCACTATGGGAGGCTGAGGCAGGCAGATGAACTGAAGTCAGGAGTTTGAGACCAGCCTGGCCAACATAGTGAATCCCCGTCTTTGCTAAAAATACAGACCTTAGCCAAGTGAGGTGTTGTGTGCCTATAATCCCAGCTACTCAAGAGGCTGAGGCAGTGAATCGGTTGAACCCGGGAGGCAGAGGTTGCAGTGAGCCGAGATGGCGCCACTGCACTACAGCCTGACAACAGAGTGTGACTCCGTCTCAAAAAGAAAAAAAAAAGATGTGATGGAAACAAGCTCATTATCCTCCTGGGTATCTCAGGTGTATTCCGGAAAGAGTGTGGTGAGTGACTTTGCTCTGGTGAAGTGGGGGCTGCAGAGGGGTTGGCAGCGAGCAGGGTCGTGATCTCCCTGCCTTCAGAGGGGTCCCATGTGCTGCTTACTGAGAATAGACAGGGGGAGGGGCTTTACCCGCAGATCCTCCACACACGTCTTGGCTGAGTGCTTCTGCCATCACCAGATGATCTGAAAGCTTCCCCGGGGCTGGGAAGACCACGCTGGAATAAGGCTTGGAAAGGGTGGGTGTTCTCACCAGCTCTGCTGCTGACCTGCTGGGTGTCCTCTGCAAGTCACTCAGCCCCCCGAAGGCTTATAGGATCCCAGCCAGGCTGACGTGGGGTGGAAGCAGGAAAGTACATAGGCGCTTGCTGTAAAAACCCAGGTGCTACCTGAGGTCTAAGGAGCCTTGGGATGACCAGCTCGGCTCAGAGCAAATTCCCAGAAGGAGACATGTACACAGAGCACCCGCCACATGCCACCTGTCGGGAGGCACAGGAAGTGGGGGCGAGTGGGGCCACCTGGGTTCTCCAAAAAACCAGGAATCTACCCAAAAGCAGCAGGTCCCTTCCTTGGGGCTCCTGCCTCGAATCCTTCTCCTCCCCACCCCCGTCCCCTCAATAGCATCCTGGGGCTGGGAAGAGGCACTGCCAGGACACCCAGTCTAGAAACCTCCACGCTCAATTCATCCTGCTAGAGGCTGCTAGAACACAGGGGGATCCAGCTCCCTGACCTCAGAGCCAGAGGCAGGCAGGAAGGCCATGGGGCCCACACATCCCACCCCAGTGGACCCAGCTGCAAGCCCACTGGCGGGGCTGCATAACCCTGTGGTCCAGGCCAGGGGCCGGTGCTGCTCGGCCTTCAGAGACCAAGGAAACCAGAAGAGTCACAGGGCTGAGCTGTGTTTCCTCTTCTGCAAGAAAGGAGGGGGCAGGCCAGCTGCCCACCTAGGGGAAGCTGAGGAAGGGGGTGAAGACAGTGAGGGAGCTGTGTCAGTGCAGTGGAAGAGGCACCCAAAGCAGTTCTTGCCCCAGGCTCGAGCACCCAGGGCACCTGGGCCACATGCAGTGGCCAGTGAAGACCAAGCCCAGCAGAAGTCCCTTCCCCTCCACTTCAGTCTCTGCGGGCTGTGACGGATATGGGGACATTGTGATGGAGGGGCAGCCCTGGGCCTACTCTTGAAAACCCCAGGAGGAGGGGCACCAGTGACAGACATCCCTGACACCTCCCTCACCGCCACCCCCAGCCCGCCAGACCTGCCTCCTTCAGGAGCCCTGGGAATGATCCAGCTGGAAGTGAACTGGCTGCACTGTGAGTCCAGCCAGGCTGTCTGGGGCTTTTCTTGTTTGTAAAATGCACAAGACCTGCAGTTGTCTCTGGGAATCACAAACCTCCCTGAGACTCTGAAAGAACCTAGAGTCGTCTACGGCCCTACCACCCTGAACATGCCCGATCTCATCTGAAAGAAGCTAAAATCCTCTCTGCCAAAAGAGGCGTGCGCATGTGACTGTGTGGACACACTCAAACAAAGTGAGCCTCCCTGACCAGAGGGCCTCCGGGGCCCCTTCCGGCTGGGACTCAGTTTCCACTGAGGTTTGTCCTTACCCACTCAGAGACTGAGAAACACGGTGGGGGCGGGGTTGAGGGCCAAGTTGGGGGGTCAGCAACGCTTGTAGCCAAAATTCCCAGAATTGCCCACAAAATGCCATTTCAGTGGGTTCCTGTATGCAGGCAGCTGACTCACCATTAAATTCCCCAAGTCCCTATCAGCTGCAGGCTCTCAATGGCCCTCAAACAATTCTTCAAATTCTTCCCCTGTGATGCAGGCAAAGCCACTCTCCCACCACCGCCCTGCCATCGGTTTCGACATCCGGTTCCCCCATCAGGCAGGGACTGCTTCCACCTGCCATATTCATTGCCTATTTAATATCAGTGAGATGACAGAGGCTGGGGTGACCACACCATGGCTGAGACAGGGTTAAGCTGATCACATACATGATGGCCCTCCCCGCCCCAAGACTGAGTCACTGTTTCAGGGGGAGATTCCGGGGTCTATGTTTCTGCATTTGTGGGAACTGGCTGTTTTGTTTTGAGATGGAGTCTCGCTCTTGTCACCCAGGCTGGAGTGCAGTGGTGCAATCTCGGCTCACTGTAACCTCTGCCTCTTAGGTTCAAGTGATTCTCCTGCCTCAGCCTCCCGAGTAGCTGGGATTACAGGTACCTACCACCATGCCTGGCTTATTTTTGTATTTTTAGTAGAGACGGGGTTTCATCATGTTGGTCAGGCTGGCCTCGAACTCCTGACCTCAGGTGACCCGCCTGCCTCTGCCTCCCAAAGTGCTGGGATTATAGGTGTGAGTCACTGTGCCTGGCCTGTGGAAACTGTTTTAAACATTGGCTGAGAAGAAGAAACACTGAAAAGTGGCAGGGAGACAGGAAACAGCATTTCCTGACCACACAAGGCATCTATCAAAAACTCAGCTAGGAAACCATACTCAGAGAGGTCTGGTAACTTGCCTCAGGTCACACAGCAAGTGAGAGCAGAGGGGCAGGCAAACCCAGGCCTGCTGGGCCAGTTTCTCCCTGTCACATGGCCCTGGGCCACCTCTCAGGCACAGCAGAAACCCACCCAGGAAGGCTGACAAGTTTGGAAAGTCGGGGAATCTCTCGTGCAAGGCTGAGACCTTTGACGCCCCTGGGGGAGTGGACTGGGGGAACTGGGCCATGCATGTGAACACCAGGCTGATGAAATTTACCTTCATTCATACTTTCGAGTGTTGGGGAGGGGTATCTGTGAACTTGGGGGTGTCCCCACCCCCAGTGACTCCTGGACAAAGGCTGCCTATTTCTCAGAAGCAACCCCATCACCTGGGAGGAACTGGCAGGGGTGGTCTCAGGATCTGGCAGCCCCCTGCGTAAATGGAGCAGGGGCTCACATCCCCTGGGCCACAGGCGAATCAGCTGAACCATAGTCCCCCAAGCCTCTAACACGAATCCCACCCAAGCTGCCTGCCCATGGCATCCTCTGATCAGATGGGAAGATGCAGCCACTGGGCAGCCCTTCTCAAAGCACATCCCTGGCCCCAGCTGCTGCCCTCCCACCCCGAGCCCCTGATTCTCTTCTCCAAGGTCTCCACACGTCGAAGACTCATTGTCAGGGTCTCTTGGCAGGACTCCCCCAGCCCTGAGCCTCATGTCTGAATCACGGACTCCTGTAGGCACTTCGGCCAGGTCACCTCTGGAAATGACAGCCCAGCCCAGCCCTTCTCCTGAGTCTCCGCTGAGCCTGCAGCCCCTGGCTCCAGTCAACCCCGAGCCTCTCTCACTGGTCCCAGCAGGCAATGGTGAAGCTGGCAGCAGTCTCCTCTCCTTTGGAGACTAAAGGTGGGACGGCACCCACTCTCTTCCTGAAAGAGTGTCCCCACAGTCCTCCCTCTCTGCTCTCTGATGTGGGTGAGGAGTCAGGATTGGGAAAGGGGCCTCTGTTCATTTGCCTTTCTGGGGACCATGACTCGTGATACCTCTCTGATGCTGGTGTCCTGACACCTTGGTCAGACCATCCATGGTAGGAGCTGCTGGGCAGCTGGCTGGGCTTCTGGGCAGAGCCGGGCTGACTGTACTCAGGTGGGGGCCTGGGAGCAGGATGGCGCCTAGACAGCCACAGGGGTGCTGACAGTATGGTAGGAGATGGAAGTGGAGGAACTCACGTGGTAGAACCACAGAGCCTGGTTCGAGCCAAGGAGAAACATCTGAGCAGACGGTGACGGTGGAGATCTGGGCATGGGGTGTAGCGTTCTAGCTCAGACCTGCATGCAGCCTGTAGGCCTGGGCAGTTGGTGACATGAGTTTGATGCTCAGGAGAGAGACTGGGGGCTTGACAGCCCACAGATGAACAAGAGAAGAGGAAGGGTCAGGGTTACAAATGTAAACTAGAAAAACATCTCCCAGACTCTCCCTGCCTCCGCCTCTCCCAGTGGGCAGCCGGGAGCAGCTCCTGGAATACAGCCTCCACCTGCTATGCCCTTGTCAAGTGGAAGAACCCTTTCTCCGGGTCACCATGGGAGGGTTTGGAGCCAAGACCTGAATGCAGAAACTGGCCCTCATTATACTGACTGTGCTTAAATCCCCCTGAGGCTGCTGGGTTTCAGGAGGACGTTCTAGAATGGGGCTCTGGTGAATGGAGCCTGAGGGAGCCCGTAGGTTGGCTGCCTGGAAATGGCCACCCTGACCACTGGAAACCTGCTCCGACATTCGCACGGTAGGGGCACCAGACCGCAGACATCTGGACAGCTGATGTCTGAGTGTTCCCTTCCAGCTGGTCCATGGGAGGGGAAAGCAGTCACTGTGATTTGCGGACTCTGCACAGCCATGGGCAGAGGAGCGATGGCCGGAGAGCCCCCAAGGGAAGGCATTCGGTCCAGGGTAGCAGCCCCGCCCAGGGCTGCAGAGCTCAGAATCCAACAGGCCTGCCCAGAGCACCAGGGGCCACCTGTGCCGGAGGCCAGCAGCACCCCGCAATTCAGCTGCATAACTGGCCTGTGCTGGCTGGCGAGTGTGACAGTGACCCCTCACAGACGCCACACAGTAGTATTTGCAGCTAGGCTTAGAGTCCCATTCTGTGGCTGGGAGTTGACTGTGGGAAGGTCACCGGACTTCTCTTAGCCTCAGACTCCTCCTCTATGACACGGGGTTATCAAAGAACACCCCAAGGATTTTGGCGCGTTCCTCGCATGACAGGAGCTCTGGGCAGCACATGAATTGGTTGGATTTGTTCTCATCCTCTCCAGCCCCCTGGGGATGAGCCCTCAGTCCAGATTGAGTCCACCTGTCCATGTTCATCCACCTGCTGGTGTTGGCCTCGTGTCCTTCCTCCCACTCCAGGTCTGGTGGCCGGGACGTGGCCTGCATGGGGATGTCATTGTTGAATTTTCCCTTCTCCCCTCCCCCACCTACCGGGGCGATGGGAGCACAGGAGGGTCCGTGGCAGGAACCTGGCAGGGTCAGATCTGATTTTCACCCAAAGTCTACAGGGAGTGTTTCTGCTGGTGAGGATCTAGAGAAACAACAGCGTCATGAAATCTCAGGGAAAACACTGGAAAGCAGAGGACCAGATTATATTTGATTGCCCCTGGGAATGGGGAGCTCCCCACCTGAACCGACAGCCAATTTAGACTGTTTCTCCCAGCTCTGAGAATTGGGGCCCTTCTAAGCCACACCAAAGGTCTCCCTGCTGGCCCCAGCCTTGGACCCTCAGAGATGCAGAGAACTTGGTCATTTTCTCTCCTCTCCAGCTTGGCTCTGCTGAGGTCATCTGTACAATCAGCACAGCAGCCCATCCCATGGAAAGCATAACAGCAACACCAAGCGCCTACTGTGTGCTTCAGAAGCTCTCACTATGTGCCATTGACATGCATATCTCACCCCACGGCACCATGCCCCAAGGATGGGCCATCGTCCCCATTTTAGACAGGGGGAAGCAGTCTAGGAGGCAAATGACTTGACCTGAGGTCACAGGCTGCGAGTGGCTGATGGCATCTGTCCTCAGGTGCCAACCTCATATGGAAATAGGGGGTGTCGAGGGGGAAGCATGCACTCGGCAAAGCTCGAAATGTAGACAGGGGTCTGGGGCATGGGCCACCATCCTTAAATCCCCTGGCTGGGGTCAGGATTAGACTGGGGACCAGGAGGCAGCCTACATCCTGAATCAAGGGCCCTGACACTTTCCTCTCTGGGAAACCGGGACACAAGGACGAGCCACTTGCTCAAAGTCACTTGCCAGTGAATGGCAGAGCCTTCCCTGTTCACAGGCCTTCCCCTACTCCAGGTGAGACACAAGGACAGCAGCCCAGAATGCTGGCTCAGCACATTTGGAGATGGAAACTCTCCCCGCCTCTGGTTCCCCTGCACTCCCCAACAGCTGGCAAGCCTCAGCCACATTCCCACAGATGCCAGCAGCAGCTGGCCGCACTGCAGGAGGCAGGCTCCCTTCACTATTCCTAGCTCCTCGGGGCCCAGGCTCCAGGAGAAGCAAGGTCATCCTCCTGTCCCTGAGAGAGAAGTGGCTTAGACTCAGATATGCAGATGGAAGACCTGGGCGGCCAGTCTGCCCTGCTCCAAAAGGTGAGGACCCCTTGAGGTTCAGGGAGCAGGCCGGCAAGCAGTCAGCAGGAACTCAGCACCCGGCGTCCTTTGGCTGGTCCTGTTTGCTGTCATTACAATAACAATAATGGCTGTAATAATTTACTGACATTATTGTCATTTGGAAGACCTACCACCCACCATTCACCCAGTAACCCCTCCAGCCATGCATCCCTCGGCCATCCATCTCTCACTCGCCACCTTACCCATCCATCCATCAACCCAGCCCTTCCTTCAGTTCTCCACATAGTCCTCCATCTACCCAACCACCCACTTGTATATTCATCCTTCCAAAACATGTTCACTCACCATCCACCCACCCGTCATTTACCCACCCATCATTCACCCACCCATCATCTACTCACCCATCATCCGGCCATCTAACATCTACTCACCCATTTACCAGCCCACCCATTCACTTATCCAATCCGCCACCCACCCACCCATCCACGCATTATCTACCCATCTATCCATCCCACCCATCCACTCACCCACCCACTCACCCATTCATCCACCAGTTACCTACACATCCATCTATCTCTCCCTCCACCCACCTACCCATCCATCCACCCATCCATCCATCAGGCAGATACATAATGCCACTAGGCACATTCCTGATGCCACCATTTGGTCACCGCTCGTCTATGTCACCTGGGGCCTAGGCTGAGTGTGGGGGGCGTCTGAGCACTGGTGTCCCCCCGGCACGCAGGACACTGCCCTGCACGGTTGAAGGGCCTCCATAAATATCTGTTGAATGAAATGATTCATCCAGGAAGAAGCCCCAGTCTTATCTTTGAGAAATTGGCTGCCTGGTGGGGAAGGCAGGCACTTTCCTAATAGCAATCACAGCCAGGCATTCGCCTTGTGCTCTCTACCTGTCAGCCGCGTCCTCAGCACTTTTCATACCTCATTGAGTCCTCACAAACCGGGTGAGATGAGAACAAGTCTCACCTTCATTTTACAGATGAGGAGGCTGGGCCGGGGAAGCCACGGTTTGCACACGGCATCGGCTCCAGACCTCAGGCTGGAAACCTCCATGTGGACTCTGGGATGGTGGCTGTGACGGGGGCTGCAGAGCAGATGAGGTTTCCCTTCGCCGGAGGTGAATGGGCCGAGGTGGGGGCTGCCATTTGGGAAGAGGCACCTCATAGTAATAACCTGGGAGCTTGAAAGAAGCTGTCAGTGGGGGAAGGGTCTCAGGTGTGTCTGCGGCCACTGGTCATGTGACACACGGCAAAGCAGCGCTGGCTGGCTGTGGGGGTCAGGGGTCACCGAAGAGCTTGGGTAAGGAGGTGGCATGATTAAGAGCAGTTTGACCAGATCTCCCATGGGCAAGGGACAGGGCAGGGGGTGGGGACACCTAAGGAAGCCTGTGGGACAAAATCCAGCAGGAATCAACAGGATCTGGAATGGTTGGTGTCAGACGGCTAGAACCCTAAGGGGCAGTAGGATGAGGGACCCAGGCGGAGATGATCTTCAAAGGGGACACTAGCTTCCTGGTGTGTGTGTCCAATGGATGGAAATGCCCTCCCTGAGGTGGGAACAGATAGAACATATTCAGCTCTTATGCCAGCCTCTCACCTGCCCCTCAGGACCTCTTGTCATCCTGCTCCCTGCACACCTCCCCTCCCAGCCTGCCCAGCTCCCCATGTTTCATCAAGCATCTGCCCCATCACAAAACGCACATCCAGCCATCCACCTGACTGTCCGCCCTTCCACAGCACAGACACCCAAGCTGCCCCCTCCCAATCCACCATGCATTCTCCCATGGAGGAGTTATAAGCATTAAATGGGCTAATTAAAAATGTAAAATGCTTGAAACCATGCCTAGTGCCTCAGTAAATATTAGCTAGAGTTAAATTATTACTGCCATTATTGTTATTGTCATTTGGAAGACCCCCCACCCATCATTTACCCAGTAATCCCTCCAGCCATGCATCCCCCGGCCATCCAGCTTTCACTCACCATCTTACCCATCTATCCATTATCCCAGCCCTTCCTTCAGTTCTCTACATAGTCCTCCCTCTACCCAACACCCACTTGTGTATTCATCCTTCCAAAACTTGTTCACTCACCATCCACCCACCCGTCATTCACCCACCCGTCATCTACTCACCCATCCACCAGCCCACCATTTACTTATCCAACCTTCTATCCACCTGCTCATCTACCCATTTATCCATCCCACCCATTCACTCATTCAACTACTCACCCATCCAACCACCAATTACCTACCCATCCTTCCATCCATCCCTCCATCCTTCCATCCATCCATTCATCCACCCATCCACTCACCCATCCACGCATCTATCCATTCACCTATTCCCTACCCATCTATCCATCCATCCTCCTCCCATCTACCAACTGTTCACTCCCACCATATCCATCTACCCACCCACACATACCCATCTACTGGATGCAAAGTCCTCTGCTCATCCCCCAGGATACAAAAACATGGAAACTTGCATCTGATGCCGGGATTCTCAACGTTATTGGGAAAGTCAGGCCAACACCAAGCAATCACCTGTTAAAACAGGGGCCTCTACTCTTAAGGCCAGAGGGAGACAGAAAAGGGAGAGGCCAATCTGAGCAGACTAATCAGGGGAGGCTTCTTGAAGGAGGGAGAGCTTTCTGAAGTTGTGATTTCCCGGGGCCATCCCCAGCCTCAGTTCACTCCACAAGCTTGCAGAAACCAGGTCCCAGGGCGGCTGCGCTCCACTCATTGCTCCTCTTCGGCCTCTGCCATCTCCACAAAACTTATCTCATTGTATTTTCCAAGGACACGCCGAGCTGTTGAGGCAGCGAGCTCATGTGTGGCTTCGTGACAATAACAAACCAGAGCTCCATGCTGAAGGCCTCCAGCCCACCTGTTGGGCCAGGGGAGGGAGGGGAACTGGAAACGGTGTGGGAGGCAGGAAGAGACGATCCTAATTACACAGTGGAATTAATCACAACACCTTCACCGAAAGGACTTCACACATCATTATCTGCTGTGGGAAGGGCAGCCTCGTTTTTGGTGTGGGGAGAATTAATTAAAGTTGGGGACATGTTCAGAGGGTTGGGGATGAAAGGTGCAAAGCAAGTGCCAAATCTGCTTATTAATGAGACATTAATGCCAAGTAGCAGATGCAGCCGGCCAGACCGTTGCAGGTGCCCCGGGGGAGTGCAAGGGCACCAGCCGCTTCCTGCCTCCTGGGCAGGTTCTCCAAGCCCAGCCCTATTGGAACCATGTGTGCTGCAGCTTCAGGCACTGAGACCCGCTTCGGGCTGCACACTGTGGTGGGTCACGCTGGGGACACTGAGCCAAGGCAGACCCAAACCTGACCCTCTGGGTGCCCCTGGCAGTGACAGAGGCTCAGACAGACAGTGTCACTCCAGTGGGACCAGGACTGTGATGGGCAGGAAACAGAGGAAGCAGGGACCCCGACTGCGACTTGGGGAGGCTTCCAGGAAGAGGAGGCAAATGTTCCTGGTCCTCCAAGATAAAAAGGAGTGAGAGAGAAGCCCAGGAAAAGAAAGCAGAGAGTATAGCGACACCTTCAGAAAAGATGAGAGGCTGTGCAAGTCTAGGGTGGCCTTTGGCAGGAGACAGGGCAAGATGGCAGGAATCCAGATTCTATCCTGAAAGTAGTAAATACGGAGCCACAGAAGGGTCTGAGCAGGAGAATAAATGCTGTTGGATGTGGATTTCACACAAATCCTTTGGCTCCGTGTGAAGGATGGCTCAGCGGGCCGGAGAATGGAGCAGAGAGATTACTGGCTACTGCATGAGTCCAGGCAGCAAACAGTGAGACTTAGACCAGATGGCACCAGTGGGTATGAGAGCAGGATACTAGGAGGAGTTGCTGAGAGCCTAGAGCTACAAGGTGGAGAGGCCAGGGTTCTGGGGTCCCATCTTTGCAAGCGAGGCCCCCAGATATTCCCATGGTGCCATGGGGCAGAAGGCAGCCCATCCTTCCTCTTGGCCTGGGCTCCAGTATCCAGCGTCACATTCTGGGGGAACTAGAGCAGGATGTGAGCAAAGCCAACCTGTTCCCATAGGCTGGTCCCACGTGCAGCCTGGATCCAAGGTGAAGAGACTGAGGCAGAGGCAGCTTCTGGACGCCAAGATGAAACCTTGCTTTCTCCAGCTGAGAAAGCAACATCGGCGTCAATGATTCTGAACTTGGAAATCTAACCCAGCACAGGCAACGTCTCCCACCTACCAGCTGTGTAACCCTCGCGGGGTACTTAACCTCTCTGCTCCTTCCTATCCTCAGCTGGAACAGTGCAAAGATATACTGCCCTGCTCACAGTGGGCTGGCGGCGTTCATGAGGAAATGTTTGTAGACTCAGGCCTGGCAGGGTGTTTAGGAATCCAAGCTCTGGAAACTGGAGTTTCCTTTCCTTTTTCCTCTTCCAAAGGAACCCGGGCTTGGCAAGTCCTGATTTGCCTGGGAGCCCTGGAACAGAGTCTGTGGAGTGTCCCAGGCCTGTGACCACGGGAACACTTCCCTTGGCTTCCTCACCCCAGTCTCACCCGAACGAGCCCTTGGGCACCTCTGTGGCGGTTCTGGTTCATCTCGGATGTGACCAGGCTGAGACTGGCAGGTGGCCACACAGGCTTGGACCACCTGGCCAGGCCATGGGCTCCACCCTGCCGCTCAGCCTGGGCCAGCTTCCCCACAGCTGGGAGCCTCACAAGAACAGAATTCAGACAGATGCCAGAAGCTGCCGCCAAAGGTTCTTCTTTCCCTGGGCTTCATGGAAACATGAGATTTTGCAATAACAAAGGTTGCTCCGTGAGGCCAAGCCAAACAGTTTACAAGACTGGGAGAGGCTGTTCAGCGAAATCAAAGAGGCCTGGAATCCCAGCCTGGGCCCTGGGGGCTTGAGCTGTTGAACCCCAGATAACCTGCTTCCCGGTGCCTGGGTGAAACCAGCCAGAAGCCGGTGCTGCACTGAGCCTCCCAGAGCCTCCCACTGTGAGCTGGAGGGGCCCAAGCAGCAGTGCGCATGGAGCAGGTGGGGAAACTGAGGCCTAGAGAGGCAGACCCAGGATAAGTTCCCACTCCATAGTTCTCTACTCTGTTCTTTGTTGCACTGAGGTCAAGAGTGGAGGCTTAGGGTGGGCTAGGGAGGGACAGATCCAAGTTCAAATCTCAGCTGTGCCATTCCCAGCTGTGTGCCCCTGGGCTAGGGTAGTCACCTAACCTCTCTGGGCCTGTTTTGTTTTTTTTTAAATCTGTTAATAGGGAATGCATAGAAGTGACTCCTAAGATGATTGTGAAGATTCGGGGAAACCATCGAGTGACACTGTGAGGCATGGAGCGCCCGGCAAGTGGGGTCCCTCACTCAGCTTCAGTTAAACAGAGTGTGTTGCCAACAATACTCTGCCCAGCGCAGGAGGAGAGGGGAGAAAAGGCGCACTTCCTGTCTTCAGGGAGCTGGCGACCTGGTCAGAGAATAAAAGGTAGATCTTACTGTCAGAGGGGCCACGTGCCTCGTGCAGGGCATACAGCTATGAAATCGAGGCTCCTGTTCTGGCCTGGGCTGCCTTGCTCCACCTCTGGGATTTAAAATGACTGGTCTACAGAGCAGAGCCCTTGCCCTAGTGAAAAGTGCAAGGCAAGTGTCAAGTATGCTTATTAATTGCACCGAGATCCCCTCTGGGCTGGACCCTGTGGTTCGTCACTCTGGGGACACTGAGCCAAGGCAGACCCAAACCTGACCCTCTGGGTGCTCCTGGCAGTGACAGAGGCACTCATGAGCTGTGTGACCTTGGGCTGATGACATAAGCTCTCTGAGAAGAGGGTAGTGCCTGCCCCTATGCCCTGCATGCATGCAAGGTGTGAGCAGGTGTGGAGGGCGCTCGGTGAACTTCAGGGGCTCCTGCATACACCAAAGTTCCTGCCTGCCGTCGTTATTATTATTGCATTACCTGGGACCTGCTGCAGGGTGGGTGTGGTGGGTGCTGTGTGCAAGTGAGGCTCATCGCTGGGTGCTTGGCTCCAACTGCCAATTGGCACCCTATAAACTCTCGCTGTCCCGGGCTGGGTTTCAGATGCCTGGGGTAGGATGGGGCAGGCTGTGACAGCCGCCAGCTGCGAAGATGCCAAGCCCGGGTTAGACACACAGCGCCAGGAAATGAGTGGATTCTGCCAAGTGCCCAGATGAACATGATGCCACAGAGGCGGGGCTGAGCATCTGAGCTATGGGGGGGGGAACCTCTCACCTCCTCCCCCTGGCCCGAACGTTTGCCTCCTGCAAGCCAGCTCTGGGCTGAAGACAGCCGTCACTGTCCCTGATTTACAGAGGAGGACACAGGGCGGCAGGAGGAAGCCAGTCCACCTGGTCTAGGTCCCCAGCTGCTGTACGGGGTGCCAGGAAGCAAGCCCAGGGCACAGCCACAAAGCTAGAGCCAGGGCTCTCATTCACCGGCTCCTCCCGCTGTCCAAGAGCCACTGTTCCAGTCTCCCCTCTATCCTCAGCTCCTTGCCTGGGAAACTGTGATATTGACAGGACTGATAAATAGCACCTACCCCACCTTATTACGTAATGCTAATCGTGCACTGATAACAGAGCCCGGTGCTCCCCGAGCCGGGCTTATTATCAGTGATCATCAACAGGTGAGGAAACCAAGGCCAGGAACACCTTGAGTCCCTGGGTTCTCTTGTGTCTCAGCTTTGGGAAGTGAAGTTGGTGCTCCTAGATCCCCCAGCCCTCCTGGCTCCCCGTCACCTCCTTGCGTCAGACGTCCTCCCAGTGCGCCTGGGCTCCTCAGTGGTCCCTGAGCCCGAGGACTCTGGGAGCAGACATGTCTGCAGAGCAGCCTCTGGAGTGCAGGCATTTCTGTGGGAGCCTGGTCCCTTGTGAGACTCAGCTGCCCCTGGCACAGAGCAGGGCCCCCGCAGGCAACCTTCTCCAAGCTGATGAGGACAGTGTCTTTTTTTTCCACGTTGAATGCCAAACCACTGAGAGCTCAGAGACTTCACCCTGAAGGCTAACCATGGAGGGTCTGAAAGCAGAGGGGTGGCGAGGCCAGGGGCCGTCCCCTGGGGGAACAGTGGGGGATTGGCTGTAAGGCTCTGCACCCCATTAAAAAGGCATTAGCATGAGTGGTTGCTGAGTACAGCAGGGGCAGGCGGGGGGGGGGGTTTCTATAACAAACTGCCACAACCTTGTCCTCTTCACACACCACCCATCTGCTCTCTGACAGTCCTGAGGCTGGAAGTCTGCGTGGGGTCAGTGGGCTCTCCGCTTAGGGGCTCACGAGGCTGACACCAAGGTATCAGCCATGCCAGGCCCTCACCTGCAGGCTCCTGTGCTCATTTGGGGGTGTTGGCAGAATCCAGCTCCTTACAGCTGTAGGACTGAGGTCCTCTGTCCTTGCTGGGTGTTCGCTGGGGGCTCTTAGCTCCTCACAGCCCTGCCCTGAGACCCCTGCACCCCAGCACCCACTGCCTCGTGGCTGCACGTCTCACACTGGGGTCTCTTGGGTCCTGGCTGCTCTCACCAGTCAGAGAAAATGCTCTGCTTTTAAAGGACTCATGTGACCAGGTCAGATGAGCCAGATCACCTCCTTCTCTTAAGGTCCACTGATCAGTCACCTTTGTGACATCTGCAAAGTTCTGTTCACAGCATAGTATAGTCACAGGGGAACACTGGGGAGGCGGGTCGCAGGGTGGCTTAGAGCTGAGCCTGCTGCACACACTTTGTGTAAAGACAGAAGCCCCCTCTCGCCTCCTCCCAGGCCTGGAAGAGAAACTTCTGTTTATATTCGTGACCAAGAGGGAGGAGGGCAGGCCAGAGAGGAGGAGCTGGAGACCCTGGAATCACCAGGAGTAAGATGATGGGTTTGGCTTAGGCGAACGCCAGTGCTGGCATCTGTGCAGTGCATCTGGCCTGGGAGCTTCCTGGACCCCGGCACCCAGCCCACCACACCTTCCAAATCTGCAGGACAACAGTCAGGCATGGCAGCGGTGCCTGCCCAGCTACTGTGTGCCCAGCCCCAAGCATTCAAGGCTCACAGTACAGCAGCAGCCAAGATTCACACTCAGCTCTGAACCCACAGCCAGTGCTCTAACTGGTGGGCAGCGCTGCCTCCCTGTGACCCGTCCCTATAGCCACAGGGAGGCAATGGCTTTGCTGTGACATGAGGCTTCTGTGGTCAGCTGGGAGAGCAGGGAGCAGGGACAGGCAGCCAGCCAGCCCCACCCACTGGCAAAGGCACAAGGGTGGCAGTGATCAAGCCAGCCTCACACCTCAGAGAAGGACAGGGCTGGGACAGGCAGAGGTCTTGCTGCTGGCTGGCTCCTCCTTCCCTCCCAGGGTCCTGGGCCAAATCTCCCCACCTCAAGACCTCCACCACCTCTCAGGTAAACAGGTGGAGTGAACGCAATGCCCTCCAGGGCCCACCAAAGCGCTTCCTCCTGCCTGGAATAAGGAAACAGAAGCTCAAAGAGGTAGCAACTTGCCTGCCTGCCATCCATCCTATCCAAGGACCAGAGCAGCCACCAGTCCAGAGCACAGCCCGGCTGGGCCACATCCTCGCTGGAGGACTTTGAGGGGGTAGGGTACATCTAAATATCTGAGCCCTCGATTTTGAATTCAGGAAACGGGGTGGGGGATTGGGACCCCTTGGAGAAGGGAGGTGCTGGGGATGGTCCCCAACGAAGCGAGGGAGTATGTTGAGACTAGGGACCAGCTGGTCACGGTCACACCTCGCCGGAGCCCCCTCCCCCTGCCTGCCCCAGGGTCTCAGCCTCCAAGCACCACCCTCTGAAGAAGGAAAGAGGGTGGGATGCCTCGTGTCCCCGACTCCTGATTAAATGGCTGCAATTTTGATGTGGCAGGTGATCTACTCGGGAAGCCTGGCTTTAAATTTAGCTCCCTCCCCAGCCAGCCCTTTGAAAAGGCTGCTCTCTCCACTGAGGGAGGGAGCATGAGTCATCGCAGGCTGCCCGCCCCGAGAGCAGTCGCGTTTGCGGGGGAGCAGGCCTCCCGAAGGCAGAGAAGTAGTAAATAGGGATGGAGGATGGAGCCATGGCAGATGTGGGGTGTCGGGCTTGGCCTGGCACGCAGTAGGTGCCCAGAAATGGGGCAGAGGATGCTTCCCAGCGCGGTCTGCGTAGTCACCTGCACACGCCTCCTCCGGTCCAGCCAGGAGTAGAGACGCCACACGTATCTGTTGACTGGTCCGTGGATGATAGTTTACATGCTGTGTCTCACTGGACTCACAAAGCAGCCCCCAACTTGCGCCCTCACCTGCCTCAGCAGATGCCCAGAAGTTGGAAGGCTGAAGAGGGCTCCCTGCCCCCAAAGACACCTGCATCCTAATCCCTGGAACCTGCCAGTGTTACCTTACACGGCAAGCAGGGGAAAAAAGGACGTTGCAGATGGGTTGAGTGGAGGATTTTGAGATGGGGGATTATCCGGGATGATATGTGCAGGCCCTAATGCAATCACAGGCATCCCTGTAAGAGGGAGGCAGAGGGAGCGTCCGACCGGATGCCGTGGGAAGAGGAGCGCAGGGAGATTTGAAGATGCTGCCCTCCAACGCCAAGTGATGCTGCCGCAAGCTGAGGGCGCCCACAGCCACCAGAGGCTGGAAGGGGCCAGGAGAGTCCTTCCCGGGAGCCTGGAAGGAGTGCGGCCCCACCCACTCCAGGATTTTGGGCCAGGGATGCCCATTTTATTTCAGACTCTGGAACTGTAAAGTGGGTGGTCATCTGGTTGGGGCAGCACAGAACATGAGTGCACAGACAAGTGAATGACATTGGCCATGGCCACACAGCAGGTCATTCCCATTTTGCAGATGAGGAAACTGAGGCTCAGGAAGGCAAAGTAGTGTTGTCCAAGGTCAGGGAGCCCCTGCTGGAGAGAAAAGGTGAAGGTGCAGGCCCTGGGAGCACTGTGGAGGGCAGCCCCGCCCAGCACACGGTGGGGTTTTGGGGTTTTGAGGAGGCCACAAAGTGGCCACCCAGGGCAGCCACTGTGCCTTGTGGGTTTGGCGTGGCTGAAGCTCGGGGCACCTGGCTGCAGAGGAGGCTGGGCAGGTGAGCTGGGCCACAGGCACAGGAAGAGGGGATGGTGCTTCACCCTGTAGGAGATAGAGTGATGGAGCCTTAACATCTTGTCCTGCCACCGACCCGACCGTGAGCTTCTTTGGGGCAGGAACCTCTTCTGGTCTCTGGGTGTCCAGCACTGATCTGGGACAGGCATAGAGCCATGCCCAGTGGCAGGTGAACCAGGGGAGGGAAGGAAGGGGGACTAGGGGAGGGGCTCTACTAAATGATGACGCTTTCGACATGCCCTGAACACACCACACACACACATCACACACACACCACATACATACACACACACACAAACAGATACCACACATATACACACATACACACATACCACACACACACCCACACACACACCACATACACACCACACAGACACACACACCACATACACACACAAATACCACACATATACACACATACACACATACCACACATACACATACATGACAAACATACACACCACACAGACACCACATACACAGATACATACCACACATACACATACCACACAGACACACACACAGGCACAAACCCCACACATACACACACAGATACAAACACACACACACCACACACACAGATACAAACACACATACCACACACACACCACACATACACACAGACACACACCACACATACACACATGTACACACACCACACATATACCACATATACACATACAACACACGCCACACACCACACACACGCACACACTACACACAAACACCACACACACCATGCATACACACATACAGATACACACCACACATACACACAGATACACAGACACACACCATACACAGACACACATCTCACACACACACACATACACACACAAAGACATACTACCACACACACATATGGGGAACATGCACAGACATACCACATGGGGATTCTAAAAATGCACACCCAAAAAGGGAAGATACTGTCATTCCACCACCCCTGAATGCCAACAGCATTGCACACCCCACCATACACACATGCCACTCACTCACACCGTCCACTCACACACTCACATACACTCTCACACAGCCCCACCACTCACACACACATCCCTCACACCACTCACACTCACAACTCACACACACCATTCACATCCTCACACACGCAGACACCACACAACCCACACACCATTCACTCACACCCCCTACACACATTCACATACACCCCCACCATTCACACACACTGACCCCACACACCACACACACCATTCATTCACATCCTCCCCCACACACAGACACCACACACACCATTCACTCACACCTCACACACATATTCACATATACACTCACATCTCCCCTGCCACTCACACCCTTACACACTCATACACCCACTTATATACATACTCACACATCCCCTCACCACTTATACCCTGACATACACACCCCCACATAGCACATACATAGCACTCACACCCTCATACAGCCCCCCACACCAACCACACAGCAGTCAGACTTTCACACACACACACACACACACACAACCCCCCACCACTCACTCCACCACACACACCACTCACACCCTCACACAGCCACACACCACACACACCACTCACTCACACACACCCCATACACCCTGAAACACACACATTGACACTCACACACCACTCACATCTTCACACACAACACACCCCACTCACACACATACACATATAGACACATTCACAAACACACACACAACACATACCACACACCAACACACCACATACACATATACAACACACACATTCATACACACATGACACAACCAACACACTTATACACACATACACAAATATCACACACAACATATACAGCACACACACAACACAGTCTCAACAGTCCTGTGTACACTTACTCACATACACATCTTACACATATCACACACACCACTGCACTCTACACAACACACAGACACACCATAAACATACATCACACACCTCACACACAGTACCACAGACATACAACACACACAAGACAAACACACCCCTCACACTGACATTCACACACATACTACACACACATAGAATGCAACCCACACACATACCACTCATTCACATTCTCTCATACACACACATATACCATAAGCACACACCACACACTCTAAGCACACACCACACACTCAGTACACATACACAGAACACACACACTCACACATAGACCATAAACACACATAACCCAGTACACATACGCAGAACACACATACACATATACCATAAGCACATACCACACAGAGTACACATACGCAGAACACACATACTCACACATAGACCATAAACACACACCACACACTCAGTACACATGTGCAGAACACACATACTCACGCATAGACCATAAGCACACACCACACAGTACACATATGCAGAACACACTCACACATAGACCATAAACACATACCACACACTCAGTACACATACGCAGAACACACATACTCACGCATAGACCATAAGCACACACCACACAGTACACATACGCAGAACACACTCACACATAGACCATAAACACACACCACACACTCAGTACACATACGCAGAACACACACACTCACACATAGACCATAAACACACACCACACACTCAGTACACATACGCAGAACACACATACTCACACATAGACCATAAGCACACACCACACAGTACACATACGCAGAACACACACACTCACACATAGACCATAAACACACACCACACACTCAGTACACATACGCAGAACACACATACTCACACATAGACCATAAACACACACCACACACTCAGTACACATACGCAGAACACACATACTCACACATAGACCATAAGCACACACCACACAGTACACATACGCAGGACACACATACTCACACATAGACCGTAAACACACACCATACACTCAGTACACGTACGCAGAACACACACACTCACACATAGACCATAAACACACATCACACACTGAGTACACATACGCAGAACACACGTGCACACACCGAGTACCACATATAACTCACATACAGTACACACCAAATACATCACACCCACTACACAGGACACGCACAGACACCACACACAGCACAACCCACTCCAGCCACACAGGCAGCCTCCTGTGACCCCCTGTGCTTTCTGCCCTCACTTAGCCCACACCCCTCAAGTCTGAGTGTTCCTGGCGCTGAAAGCCACCTCGACCCTTAGAGCCAGGGCACAGATGACAGGCACCTCTCCAGTGTGACAGCCAAAATCAGACGAGACAACCCGGCGGGCACCTCCCCGCCCCGCCCCTGCCAGCACCCGAGACAACCCGGCAGGCACCTCCCCGCCCCACCCCTGCCAGTACCCGGTCCTTCCACTTGTTCCGTGGCCTCTCTGGACCTGTTTCCTCCGTCCCCCTGTTGGGATGTTTGCCAGGCATCAGGAGAAGTACTTCATGGGCCCAGTCCCAGTTAGTCCTCAAGACACCCTGTGCGGGAGGCAGTGCGACCTCTTTAGGGAAGAGAACTGACGTTCAGGGAGCCTCTGTGCCTGCCCAAGGCCACCTGGCCAATTAGGGACCAAGTGTCACATTGCTACAAATCCCATGAGCCTTCCCACTGTGCACCACCACCTGCCCCTGTGGCAGAGCAGGCGCTGCGCCCCTGAGCCCTCGCTGTGGCCCTGACCTCACCCCGCTGGGGTGTTCACGGGGCCCCTCTGCCCCTCCCATGGGCAGAGCCCATATCGGCTCTCATGGGGGAGATTCAGGGTCCCCCCTGGGCCTCAAACCAGGCCCATTGAGGACAGGAGGGCATGGACGCCTGTGAGACACATGGGGAAATCAAGGCACCTCAACAGTGCCCACGGCTTCCTGCAGTGGGCACCCTGGCATAATTTCCCCTTGTCAAAGCTGGGTGCCTCGGACACACAGCTGAGCCTCACTTTTATCTTCAAAAGGAGCCCAGGATGTGGCATTGGGAATGCCATCTGGACTCAGAGCCCCATCACCTCGGGGTCGCACAGAAGTTGTGCCTGGCACCTGCTGTTCTCTCTGGTTCCTCCTCAGTAACGGTAGGGTGCAGTGCCTGCCCTTGGTGCCTTCTCTTGATGTTCACCAAGGTATCTGTGAGGGGCTAATGCTGGGGAACTGGGCTTGGCTGTCAGGCAGGCCTGGGCTTGAGCCCCAATTCTGCCCCTACCTGGCTGTGTGGCTCAGAGCAGGTGTCCTAACCTCTCTGAGTCCCAGCGCCTCCCCTGTGACGTGGGGAGGAGGCTGCCCAGCAATGCCTGAGGACAAATAAAATATAAAGAATACATCAAGTATAAAGGCCTCAGCCCACTTTCGGGTGCGGTTCCATCAATGATTGGAAAATGGAATGAGAGCCACCATCTCAGGTGACTCAGGGGGAAGATCTTGGGGCCAGCCCTCCAGGGGCTTCCTTCTCCCTCCTAAAATGAGGAACTGATAGAAGATCTTCGTCTCCATTCCCTCTTGGGGCCCTCGAGGAGGCTGCAACCTTTTTCTCACAAGATTTCTTTACAACCAGAGGTCTCCCGGCCGGGGACAAAGGAAGGTGGGGAAACGGGGGCTCGCTGGCTTGAGGCTACAGACAGGCCAGCACAGCCTTGTCCCGCAGGTGAGGGCTGCAATGGGGGTCAGGCTGGAGCTGGGGGGCAGCCGGGTGGAGAGGGGAGCAGGAGCCAGGGAGGAGACCCCACGCAGTGGCCCAGGAGGGTCGGGAAGAGGGTCTTTCCTACAGGAAACTCGGGCAGAGGAGCTTGTCTCGTGTGATTGGTCCTTGGCCCAAGCTGCCCCTGCCCCTGATCCCTCTGCCCAGGGCCGGGCTGGCGGGAATAATTTGGCCCCCAAACAGAGCAGGTGTGTGTGCCATGGAAGGGGGTGGAAGGATGGAGACGGGGTGGGGAGAGGAGAGGAAAAGGGAGTGGGAAGGAAGGAGGGAAGGAGGCGGAATGAACAAAGGAGAGAGGAAGAACGGAGAGGAAGGAAGGAGGGAGGAAGGAAACGGGGCAGGGAAGCGGAAGAGGGAAGGGACAAGTAGAAGGAAGGAAAAGAACGAGGAAGGCGTGAAAGAACGAGGACGGAAAGGAAGTTAAAAGAAAGTGAGAAGCCACCGCGAACAGCAGGAGGGAGAGAAAGAGCCAGAGGGGGAGAAAAGAGACCGCGGAAGAAAGAATGAGAGGAGGACTCAGAGAGAGAGAGAGAGAGGGGAAGGGAGGAGTGAGAAAGGGAGAGAGGAGAGCGCAGGACGCGGCGGGCGCGGGCGAGGGGGAGCGCGGCGGGCAGGGCGGCAGGAGCTCGGCGAGCCCGGGCGAGGGGGCAGCAGAGGGCGCGGCGCGGAGCGAGCGCCAAAGAGTGAAGTGGGCAGCGGCGGCGGCGGCGGCGGCGAGCGCGGGGCCCGGCGAGCATGAGCGCGGCAGCGGCGGTGGCGGCGGTGGCGGGCGCGGCGCGGGGCTCGGGGCCGGCGGGCGGCCGGGCGGCGCGGGCCGCCGAGTAGCCGCGGGCGGCGGCGGGGCAGGCGGCCGGCCGCCGGACCCCGAGCCAGACGCGGAGCCAGAGCCCCAGCCCCAGCCCCGGCCACAGCCTGGGCCCCAGCCCCAGATCCGCGCCGCGTCCGGCGCGCCTAGGAGCGGGCGCCTTCCGATCCGGGAGCCTGGAGTCCCCGCGTTCCCGCAGCCCCGCAGCCCCCAGAACCCGGACAACTGTTGCGGCGGCGGCGGCGGCGGCGGCGGCGGCGGGGGCATCGCGGGGGCGTGGGCACCCCCCACACCCCAGCAGGCGGCTCCCGCGGGCGCCGGCACCCGGCTACGGAGCGAGGAGCGAGCGGGCGGCGGGCACGAGGTGAGCGGCGCCCCGGGCGGGCTGGGCGGGGGCCGCGCGGGGGAGGGGCGCGCCCGGGCCGGGGTCCGAGCGCGGTGGGGAAAGGGGCCGGGGCGGAGCTCGTGGCGGAGGAGGGTCTGGGGAGTGGGGGGCGGGGTCTGCGGTGCTGGGCTCCGGAGAAGGGGTGAAGGGTGGGCGCACGGGGAGAAGCGGGCAAGGGGCATGTGACGGGGGTCCGGGGTGGTTTAGAAAGGGGCCTGGGACGGCCGGGGCAGCGTCTGGGGGCAGGAGCCGTGCGGGACAGCGGGTGTGCCTGCCCTGGGGTCCGCGCCGGCGCTCACCAAGGTCGGAGTCGCTGAACCTTGGACAGAAAGGGGCCGGGTTCCCAAGAGCTATCCGGGGCGCACCGTTTCGGGACGCAGCGGCCGGGACCGGAATCCGCGTCCAAGGTGGGGACCGGCTTCCAAGAACCGAGTCCGGGAGCGCAGTGAGCCGGGAGCCCCGTGCTGCTGCACAGGGACCGAGGGCCACGCTGCGGACCCAGAGGGCCCGCGGGGGGGTCCCATTGGGCAGCGCAGGGTACGGGGAGAAGGACTCCCCCAAGTGCGTGCCCCTCGGTCCTGGCCCGCCGCGTGGCCCCCGCAGAACCGCTGTCGCCTCCCGGGCCGAATCAACGTTGATCCCGCGCTTGGGGCTGGGTGGCCGTGGCCTGGGAAGCTCATTAGTGCCCGCGGTTGCCGTGGCAACGAGACCCCAAGCGTCTCGAGGTTATATTTATTCTAATTATTATTATCATTATAAGTATTAGTATTTGTTACTCAGCCAGAAGAAAAACAGAAACGGGGAAAAGCCAGTGCGTCCTGGCGCCTGCAACTGTTACCTCTTTGGAAAGAGTCAAGAGGATGTGGGCGAACAAGGCCAGGTCTGTCTGCCCCAGGGTCCCCCCCTCCACCCCGGCTTCCTAGCTGCCCCAGCCTCACCCTTGGGGCCATCGGACAGAGAAGGGGAGTTATGTAATATGCGGGAGAGCACCTCTGGGCATGCCTCTGGGTGTCTCCCCTACCTCTCTGGGCCTCCTGAGCCTCTGTTCTAAGTGACTGCACCTGCCGAAGGAATCCCAGCTTAGGATGGGAAGATCAGGAAGTGCTCTGAACAGGGCATGGCTGGGGGTGGTCTCCAGACCCCTCTCCACTGCTGTGCGACCTTGACCAAGGCTCCTGACACCTCCTAGCCTGTCTCTTAATCTGGAAGATAGAATGGCAGCCATGCCCATCACCAAAGGCTGCTGTAAGCTCACTCAGAGAAACCCTTGTCGGGTTCCCACTGAGTGCTAATGGCTGTGTGACCACAGGCAGCTGTCCATACGTCTCTGGACCTCAGTTTCCTAGACTATAAAATGACAGCCCTGCTCTGGGCATTGTCTAAGGTGTTTTCCGTCACCAATGTCCTGTGAATCTCACTGCTGGCTGGCTGTGCCTGAAATACCATCAGGTTCAGCTCTGTTCAGACCCAGGCTGATGGGAAGTCCCTTCCTGCATCACCCTTTGTTTTCTCACCTGATTCTGACTGTCCAAATCTCACTGGGAGTCAGGTGGTCAAGGGGTAAGCATTGGGACTTTTCACCTATGGGTAGCATTTGGCTTCGGTGAGAAATTGCATTCAAAACCAGAATTCAAATAACCTTCAGGTCCTGGCATCAACCAGGACAATCCCCATGCTGGTCACTGTTGCCTAGAATTGGGGAGTCACTCCCCATCCCCTGAATCTGTGACTGCTCGGTGCAGGACACATCTCTGCAAGCACCCCATCTCTCCAGAGAGGCTGTCTGCTGTGCCTATCCTGGCAAGAGATGACCAGGAAGTTCTGCAGCCAGGCAGCCCCAGCCCCTCGTGGCTGAAGCTGAAAGCCCCAGGCAGGGGTTTCTGTCAGTTTTCTCAATGACATCTTCATGCTGCGTTCCTCGCTCTGTCTCAGGCATCTGGGAGGTACTGGACTGAGGAAGGGGGGTGAGGGGAGCAGTTTGGCTTGTGTGTGTGTGTGCGTGTGTGTGTGTGTGTGTCTCTGTGTCTGTCTGTCTGTCCCATCCTCGATCTCCTGAGCCACCCAGCCTGCAGCTTATCGGGGCAGGTGGGCTGGAGGAGAGGGGCAGGGGCAGGGGCAGGGCCAGTGCTGCTCCCTCAGATCTTTGTGAGTGGCACAGAAAAGGAGTGGGACCTGCTCAGAGTGAGACCAGCCGAGAGTCACTCCCAGTTACCAGTCATCCATCCAACCATCCCTTCACTCCCCTTCCTTGGCCAACTCCTGGAGGCCCCGTGCCTACGAAAGGCATTGGCTCGCCCATGGCAGCTCTCTAGAAAGCAGAGGAGGAAATGACCCCGACAAGCCAGCAGAGCTGGAGGCATACCTAGGTCAGGCCAGGGGCAGTGAGCTCCTGGGGGTGGAGAGGTGTACATGCAGCGGGGGGCACCTGTCCTTTGGAGCCTGGGAGGGGTTGGGGCTGGGGGAGCTTGGTCCAGAATGACAGGCATGAATCAGCCAGAGGAAGAGGGAGGAGCTGTTCTGGGCAGAGACCCTCTGTGGGCAGAGATGCAGGCATGGCAGGGCGGCAGGCTGAAGCCTTCTGGACCTGCGGGGCTGGGAGGTGGCTGCAGGCCTGGAGGGCAGGGGGGATGGAGCTCCCTGGAGCAGGGCCCGGAAGGAGACAACCCCACCCCCAGTCTGAGTGAAGGGTTTGGGTACAGAGCGGGCAGATTTGGAGCTTAGACAGCTTCTGGGTGGGCTGCCCATGCTTGAGGTGGGCAGAAGGAGACACAGTTTGGGCCAAGAAGGTGAATCTGATTTCCAGTTCCCTGGGACAACCAGCCAAGCCCTCCCCAGCCCCACCCCAAAGGCTACACTGCAGGGGGACTGCCTTACGCTCAGGCCCTGCGCTTCTGGGGTGGGTGGGGGGCAGTGGCATGTAGACACCAGGTCTGTCCACTTCAGCTGTCTGTGTCCACAATATAGGGCTTCACGGAACAGGCTCCCAGTCGCACCCCCCACAGCACGAGGGTCGCACTTGGCAGTGACAGCCCGAAGGCCTGCTCAGAGCCAGGCACCATGCGGAGCGCACTCCGACCCAGCTTCCCACTTAATCCTCATGCCAACCTTGTGAGTGGCAACTGTAGATTCTGTTGTATAGATGAGAAAACAGGCCCAGAGAGGCTAATTATACAGAAGAGCCCCACCAGGACCAGGCTCCCAACTGCTGCACCACATTGCCTGATGTGGGGTGGGGATATAGAGGCTCCTGGGACACAGGAGCCACGAGGGCCAGGGGCCCCACGGTCTCACTTCCTAGTCATTACCCATTTACTTGCCAGTATGACTGACCCAGAGCCTGGCCTGCCTTATGCTTAGATGAAAGCTGTCACCTCCCTTCTTAGGGATGCTGTGCCTCTACTAACCCAGTCTCGGCTGCTTTCACTTCTCCCCAGTTGACTCGATAACAGATTCACGGGATCTTAGAGCGAACTGAGAGCCCCTTCCGCAGCTCTCCCAGCCCACCTGCTCTTTCAGAAGGTACCGAAACAATCAACACCCCCTAAGAATGGGGGGCCTTGTTTCCTAAACATGAAGCAGGGAGGGTTCTGGACACCTAACCAGGATGAGTGAGGAGGGTGACCGGAAGCCCTGGTTACCCTGGTTGTACCCTCCTGGGGACACCAGGGGACACCCGCTGTATAGATGTTGTTCTCACTCTGCACAGGGCCTCGCAGGGGGTTGGCCCCATCTCTTCCTCCCTCCCTTTTTGCACCCCTTCCCTCCTTCCTGACTTCCTCCAGGGCACACAGTCCTTGACCTCTAAGCATGGACCCCTGGAGAGGTGGAGGAGACCCCAAGGTCACTGAGACCCCCCCAGGCCGCTTCCAGCCAGTCTGTTTAATGATTGACTCTATGAATAAATCATTCTGTAGCTGGGGCTTCGGATGTCCCACTCGCCCTACTGATGTGCCTTCTGTCCCCATGCCCCGAGTTATGATGAACCCCTCCCTCCTTTTCCTCTCAGCAGTAGCTGGGTTGGAAATGTTCGTCCTGACTTCCCCAGCCACTGGCCATCCCACTCCTCACAACCCCAGGTTTTCTCATTCAGCATCTCAGGCACAGTGCTTCTGAAAGTGCCAGACCAGGCCCAGGCAGGGTCTCTCTGGTGTGTGTGTGTGTGTGTGTGTGTGTGTGCCTGTGCGTGTCCGCATGTGCCCCACTCTCCACAGCCCTCAAGGGGGTGGGCAGGGCGGTAGACGAAGACTGCGACCGCAGCAGCCCTGAGCGTCCTCTGCCGTGCTATGAGGAGGGGCCCCAGGAGCTGCTGGTGGAGGGGCTTGAGGCCGATCTGCTCCCCCATATCCACATGGGGACACTGAGGCCCAGAGAGGGCTGGGACTGTGCTCAAGGTCACACAGTGAACTGGGGATTCTTGAGGCCAAGAATCTTCCAGCCTGTATTACAGACATGGACACTGTCCAGGTCTGGAGGTGCTCCAGGGAGTCTGGAGGGTTGGGGGGTACAAACATTTCCTAGAGGATGCAATTTACACCGAAACCCCCAGAGGCACTCCTTTTAGGAAAAGGCTTCAGAATCTCTCCCTGCCCGGCCATCCGTAACAGCAGAAGCTGAGATGAAATGCACATCCCACCGTCCTGTGTTTTCCACATCAATGTGAACAGGGCGTTTACATCGGCAGCCCGTGCCCCCAGCCTGCCCTCCTCCTCCTCCCATCCGGGCGCATCCTCCAGTACCACCCATCTGCCCGCACGCGCACCTACCCCAGCAGATATGTGCAAATGCTCCTTCCAGAAATTAACAAATAATGCATGAGTTTCCCAAACTACACCCATTTAACACTGAATTAAGTTCTGGAAGCTCTTAACAGAGCCCTGGGAGGGAAGAAACATTTTTTGTTCACACTTCCCTGGAAAATGAGACAAACCGTGATCTTTGAAAGCCCAGCTACATAATCTGATTATTCCTCCCTGGCAAGC